TATCTGAGATCCTCTTCCTTATACTTGCACTGCTTTCACTGACATTAATCGCGAAGAGAGCCGGAGACTTGTCAGGCTTGGTGCTTCCACTCCGTCTACTGAGATATTCGCCCTGGACTCTAATAGTGGTACTTGCACTGCTTTCACTGAGATTAATCACGAAGAGAGCCGGAGGCTTGTCAGGCTTGGTGCTTCCACTTCGTCTACTGAGATATTCGCCCTGGACTCTAATAGTGCTCAACCTCGGGCTAGTCACCCCACTTGTGATTACTGTCACAAACCGAACAACACTTGTGGCAAGTATGGAAAGCTCCACAGGAAACCTGCATCCACACCTTTGGTGAAATCTTCAACTGTCAGGGATCTTGCTAAAGCATCTAAATCCAAAACTTTGTAGCCTGCCTCTATCTAGAGCAATCTGGAATCCTCCAATTCTTTTAAAAGTCAAATGTAGTATTTAATCAAGATGATTGGATCCATTCCACTATCCTCCAGCCTGCCAACCTCACACGTTCGTCAAGGTACCAATCCTATGACACATTTCTTTTGTCCCTTCTAGACCATGAATCATTTATTCAGGTGTCACAGACCACATGATTGGAAACCTTCAAGCCTTTTCGACATACCATCCTTGCTCAGAGAAATATAATGCTAAAATTGCTAATGGGGTCCCAAAGTTCCATTGCTGGTAAAGGGTTTGTTGTTTTAACAATACGTCTAATTTTGAAAATATGTTACATGTACTTTTGTTGAAGTATAACATTTGATCTGTGACTGAATTGACATATGACAATGATTATGTTGCTCATTTTTTTCTGATGTCTGTCTTTCAGGATAGTCGTTCGAGGAGGATTATTGGAACTACTAAGCGGGTAGGAGGGCTCTACTTCTTTCACGAGAAAAATATGAAAATTGAGGACACTCCACCCACTGGATGCAAAATTTCTCAGTCCACTGAATGCCCTAGTATTATGTTACATTGTCCTTCAAGTCATCCTAGTTTCTAATATCTAAAACAATTGTATATGATGATGTTTACTAATAAAAAATTTTCAAATTTCAAATGTGAAACATGTCAGTTAGCGAAACATCATCATATTTCTTATTCACCCCACAATTACACACTTTCTACTCATTTCTTTCTTATTCAGAGTGACTTTGGGGACTCTCTCGCACTCCTAACTATACCAATAATCGGTGGTTTCTTATTTTGATTGATGATCACACTCAAATGATGCGCGTCTATATCTTAAAAGAAAAATCTGAAGCTACTGTCACTTTCAAAAACTTCCATATTTTCGTTTTGATCGAATTCAAATCTCCTATTCAAGTCCTTCGAACTAACAATCGTCATGATTTTTTTAACTCTATGATAGGAGAATTTTTGGTAAGGGCACCCTCCAGCATAACTCGTGTACCGACACTCAACAAAATGGGATAGTCGAAACGAAAAACCGACATCTTTCGAAGTTACTCACTCCATTATGTTTCACTTGAATATTCCAAACATTTCTGAAATGATATCATTCTTAACGCAACCTATCTCATCAATAGAGTTCCCTAAAAAATTCACAACTTTCGTACCTCTTTAACCATCTTAAAATTGTGTTTTCCTAACAATTGGTTCTTCACCAGTTTAGATTACAAAATTTTTGGGTTGCATAGCCTTTTTCGGAACATGGCTCTAATTAGAGTAAACTTGATCCCATGTTAATAAAATGTGTTTTCCTCATATACTCTGTCACTCAAAAGGGGTATCAGTGACTTGAACCTACCAAAAATAAGGTATATGTGAGTGTTGATGTCTCTTTTTCTGAAAGTGTTACCTCCTTTACTAATTCCACTTCGACTGAGGGGGAGCTAGAGTTCTTAAACATTATTCCTTAGGCTACTCCTGTGGATGTTCCCCCCATGTCACCTACCAGGAACCCTCTGTTCCTTTGGTTCCACCCACTTCTTCTACCGCCAAGGAGCCATCTGTCCCTTTGGGTCCACCAGCATTTCCTCTCACTCTCCGTGTCTAAACTCAATGCACTCGTTCTGATGCACATACTCTGGAGCTCGCTAACCCCTTGTTGAACCCTGAATCCCCTCCGGACGACACCCCCAACACTGCTCCTACTCTAAATGAGGAAGTCAGTTCCTCTAGTAAAATACGCAATCAGACAGACTCTCTCTATCCCATGGTAAACTTGTCTCTCTTCGTACATTATCTCCAACCTACAAAGTATTTGTTACGACCCTGACCAAGCATTAGCTTCCATTTAGTATTTAGGTTGCCTTAGCAGACACAACCTGGAAAGCTGTTGTCATGGAGGAGATGAACGTCATTCATCAGAACCATAGTTGGGATCTTTCTCGGAGCAATAAAGCAGTGGGATGTCAATGGATTTTTAACATCAAGTTGACTATGAGGAGACATTTACTCAAGTTACTAAATTAAATACCATTCGGATCCTCCTATCCCTTATCGTGAATCTGGATTGACTCTTATTCCAGCTTGATGTCAAGAATGCATTCCTAAATGACGATCTTCCAGAGGAGGTATACATGACTCTTTCTCCAGACTTTGACTCCACTACCACCCAGGGGCAAGTATTTAGACTGTGAAAATCTCTTTATGGATTGAAGCAATCACCACGGGCATGTTTTGGGAAAGTTACAAAGGTAGTAGTAGGTCATGAATTCACTCAAGCTCAATCGAACCACACTCTTCTTTCGGTATTCCTTCAACGACCAAGCAACTATCCTTATTGTCTATGTTGACGATATTGTTCATACAGGTAATTATCTATCAGCATTGGAGTCTTTGGAAGACATTATTGCTGCTTCATTTGAAATGAAGGACTTGAGATCTCTTTGGTACTTTATAGGTCTGGAAGTTACTCGGTCCTCTCAAGGTAATTGTCTGTCTCAACGGAAATATGTGATTGATCTTTTAACAAGGAATAATCATTTCTTGTGCAAACTAGTGGTTGTCCTGATGGATCCTAATGAAAAACTTCTTAGTGTCTCCAATGCACTTCCTGTAAACAAGGTTCGCTACCAGCGTCTTGCAGAGAAACTCATTTACCTTGCTCATACATGCGCCCTGAAATATGATATGCAGTTGGAATAGTCGGCCAATTCATGCATGATCCCTATGAGCATCACCTCCAAGTTGTTCACTGGATTCTCCCCTATTTAATAGACACACCAGCCTTAGTTTGTTTTTTTCCCGTCACACCTCTCGTCCTATTGCAATATACACAGACGCATCCATAATCGGTAATCTACCTCGAGGTACTACTCATTTGTGTGGGGAAACCTAATCACGTGAAAAAACAAGAAGCAGTCTGCAGTTGTTCGGAGCAGAACGGAAACCAAATTTCGGTCCATGTCCCTGGGAATCTCTGAAGCTCTTTGGTTACACATCATGCTCCACAAACTATGTATGACAATCAGCGCTCCCTACAATTGTTCTGTGATAACAAGACTGTTATTAGCATTGCTCACAACTCAATCTAGCATGATCGCACCAAGCATGTTGAGATTGACCTTCGCTTCATTAAGGAAAAGTTCAAGTCTGTGGAAATTTGTGTTCTGTTGTGCTATCTAGTGGTCAGCTGTCAGATATTCTCACAAAGAACGTTTCTCGGCCACTGCTTGAACATGATTGATATATGCTTCCACTTGAGGGAGAGTAATAGAATATTAGTGAACATGATTGACATCTATGCTTCCACTTGAGGGAGAGTAATAGAATATTAGAATATTAATATGCAGAAATGTGTATTAATTGCTTTGATTTTGTGTTATTTACTTTCCTTTTCCCCTTTATTCTGCTTTTAGTAGTTTCCTTACTAGTAGATCTTGTAATGGGTATTTACCCCTCTTTGCATCAATAAGAATTATCCTATTTCTATTCTAACAAATATAACTATCATGGCTATTTGTATAGCAAAGTTATGAAAAGCATTACCCAAAATAGACCCATATTGGGTCGATTGACAGTCACGAAACCATGGAAAGGAGAGTTAAAAATTGTGATTTTTGACTAAGATCACTGAAATTAGATGATTCATGAAATGGCCATGCCCTATGATGGTGGGCAAGAGACGAGTACAGAATGTGAGATCAGAGAAAGAATTATGCTTGATTGCGAGAGCAAAAATCAACCATAGTTGATGCATGCAAGAACAGGTTGATAACAAAAGGCACTACAAGTGGCAGAGATCAATGGTGCTCTAGACTGTGTGAGTGGTAGTATTAAGAGGGTGCAAATAAATCAAGGTGTGGCTTACAAACCAAAGCCCAGAGAGTGCACAGGAACAAGAGTGTAGCTAGGAGGATACACAAGAATTAGAGCAACGAACAAGATAGAGGAGCAACATAAGAGACTCAATGGCTGGATTGCATGTGGGATCTAAAGCAATGTGTCACTATGGGAGCAATACTGCATGAGAGGAGCAACATTTGTCGGACATATAGGAGGCCATGGCTAATATGGCTCTGATACCACGTTACACAAGAAACTTTGGTTGTATTGTTAAAAACCCTTATTTATAAGAGGATAAGTGCAACATGCCCAAGTACAGAAATAAGCCCACATCAGTCACTTTATATAGTGTCTTCCCATATAAAACTTCTAAAAAAAAGAATGTGCACGCAAGGCTCGTTAATAAAACAAGTTCTAAAGAAAAAGCATCAATCAAGTGAAACTCACAACTGTTGAGAGATCAAGACTGTTTTGAAAATAATATAATAAAAAACATTCTTTCAAGATTCAGCTAATCTGGAAAATTTCATGAGAATATATTAGTCAAATAGGGCAGCAAGGGGCAGAGAAAAATTAAGGCGAGCCTTAAGAGGAATTGGAGCATACGAACTGCTGAACATAAAAGATTAAAAATCATATTTTGGACAGGCGTATATTCACAGACATGTGCAATCAATGGCAATAACAGAAGCCTAAGAAAATTGTGAAAATAAGAAGACAGAAACAATGAAGTGTGACAGACCTGAAGAACATTTATATTTCTTTTCCCACGAGTATAAAGCAACTTTAGGCGGGAAGCATGTGTTCTATATACAGGATCAACTGCAGAAGGATTCAAAGAAGCAGCTTTACTATAAAATGAAAAAGCCCGATCATGTGAATATCCCAGCTTTTCGCAGAGCTTTCCCAAGTAAAATGAAGGAAGCCAATCAGGCCTGCAAATTGTGAAGAAACAACTTCGTTAATCCATATGATTATTGGTAAAAAATCTAAAATAAAGAAATAACCATAAAGCAATAGCTAATTACTTGAGTGCAAAAGCCTTTTCAAAATGTTTCATTGAATTCTGACAAGAAATCCTCCATGTTGTATCCCTTTTAGGCACATGAAATCTTTGATCATAAAATGGAACAACATTCTGAATATTGTCATAGTAAACTAGTGCAAGCAATTCATGTATTTGGCTCTGGATGTACAATTATTATTAGAAATAAAGGATGATTTCTCTTAGGCAAAAAACAAAAAGAAGCAACAATCAGTCATCTGTAAGAGCAGAAATACAAAATAAAACCTGCTGATCTGAAGACTTAGCTAAAGCTAAACTCATTAATAAACACCGTCTGCTACGCCTTCGGCCAATTTCAACTCTTTGAGGCAGACTAGCATTCTTTCTCCAGTCCAAAATGTTTATGTGCTTACTTCCATCATTTAGCAACAAGTCCACTTCCTACATTGTAAACATGAACAATTCCATCAAGTGACATAATAAACGAAATACCAAGCAAATCTGAACCTTATAGGTCGATCAAGCATACTAATAAAATATTTTTAAAAATTTGTCAACTATCAAAATATAAAGATTCCGCAGAAACGTCTTAACTCTTACCTCGTCATAGATATTAGCAAGCTTATGCCAGCTCTCAAAACGTAAAGGATTGTACAGTAAATCATACTTAAAAAGATTGGCATTTTGTTCAACGAATTCTTCGCCTTCCTTCTTGAGTACGAAGCCAGGATATTTATCAGTAGCACTAGTATCCTCAGCCTGACCAATAAGATAATACAAGTTTCCATAAACCTCCATGTATTTTTCAGAGCTGCAGCTGCAATAAAATAAAATAAAAATTGGGAAAAAGAAAAAAAATTCGTTTCCGTTACATGTTAAAATATTAACTAATGGAAAAAAAGGAATACCCAATATCTGATGATGCTTGAAGTGTATCAGGCCATCTACCATTAATGAAAAGTAGATTCAAGACTGCATCATCATTGTCATCGCTTCCGGATAATTCATACAGCAAATCCTCAGATAACTCGGTGCTATCTAAAAATCTATATATTGAATTTTCCAACAATAATTCATCTGGTGGTTGTGGGAAGTGTTTCCGAATGGCTCTGAACACTCTTCTAAGTTTCACCAAGCCATTTCTCTGTAATCAATTAAGCAAAAGCCAAATTATTGAACAAATGTAGAAAACTTAGGCACACTCATTAGTTTCAAGAGAGTTAGGTACAGTTTTGTTAATCTTCGTTAGTTAATCATAGATATTTGACACAATTCATTTAACTAATTAGTTGTTTATAGAGCAAAACTGAAAAAGCAGTAAAAATAACTACGCACAGATAAAGCTTTTGCATATGGTAAAACGTATTGAAAGACATCAGCACACTGTTCCTTGGTCTGATAATCTCCACGACTAGTATTTTTATGTAAGGCCAAGTCATCTTCACTTGAAGAATCTGGGTTTATGTTAAGGCCATACAAACAGAAAAAGCTCTGATCTAAAGCATTTTCAATACCCGTCTGCACTTTTTCTATTTCAGTATCAATTATCTGGTTAGTAATTCCGTTAATAACATGTGCTCCATATTTCTCTCCAGTAGAGTCAGAGTTCAAATCAATCTGAAACTTTCCATTTTCAACCTCATCCTTGGGCAAGCAACAATCAGCATTCATTCCTTCTTGCCCATCTCTTTGTAGTATTTCCTCTTTTCCGTTCGAACCTACATCCAAATCAGAAAATAACCTAGAAAATTTCCTGTCTGCCCTAATCTTAACAAACATTGAAATACCTTTTTGTTTGTTCCAGTTAAAACCTACCATGTAATGATCTCAATTTCATATCTAAAGCCAAAAGATGCTTGATTGCAAATTTCAGAAATGCCCCTTCTTTTCCATTAATGTCCCGACCAGCACAGCAAAGTCCATATTCCGCAAGCAAGTCATGGACAGCCACAATAAGATCAACCTGGCAAAAGTTTTCACTTTATTGAAATATGAGAATACAAAGATAAGTAAAAAAGAAGTAGAAATTGATAGAAAAACTGTAGTCTATAATTACTTGAGCTTTGCTAGGAATTGAAGGTTGAAGATGTTGCAGCTTGCAGAATGCAATAGCAGCATCAACAAGAAGACAGCATTCTGAGTGATCAGCGGTATTTAAATTTCCGGGTATTGAGCCTTTCTGGTTGAGGATTTTTCCCAAGGAACTACATATAACTGTTAAAAGCAGACTCTGAATATTACCAATAACACTATCCAAAGAATCCATGCAACCCTGGAAGAGCAAGAAAGAGCTTTCCGCTTCAGTTTCAATGAAAGCTCAAGATGAGGTCGGAAGCATGAGAAACATTCAGTAATAAATCACACCGGTAAATCCTTCTAAGAAGGATTCTGAGTCTTTCGAGAGATCTCAACAGTGCCAGCTAAAATAAAGAAAAAGCAATAGAATAATGAAGTGGCAATATCTAACAATAGTTTTTATCGTTTAATACTTGAACTTTAGATCTCACTTAGAGAAAACACATAAGCTGTCAGACAATATCAATACTCCCCTAAGGTCATAAGAATTTAGAACTTCAAGTAATCAGATAACTAGTAAAAAATAATTATATCATGCATGCTTGATGCAGAAACAAAACAGATGCAGCATGCAATTGTAGCTTATGAACTTTTATCAGGGGAGAAAAATAGATTTAAAACCACCTGAAATATTAATAATGAGGCCTGGACATTTTGAACACAAACTAATGCAACATCATCATCATCGTTTTCTTCATCACCACTAGCCTTATCCCAACCATATGCGCATCACAAACTATTGCTGCATCTTTAACTGAAAATAATGTTTCAAATATAATCATTATGAAAATTTAAATAATATAAGTAAATACAACTTAAACCTTATAATTATCCAGAAAGCTAAAAGCCTTTCAAAGTGGAGAGTAAAGAGAGGTAAGACTTTTTTTTTTCCCTATGATTTATACACTAGGCTAGAACCTAAGAAAGAAAAAGAGGAGAAAAAATAACTATGATGGCATAAGAGTTCAAATTTTTTTTAATAAAATAAAATGCATTTAAAGGAAAAACAATTAGATCTCAGTTAAAAATAAAAATTTTACTATACAAAAATTACCATAATAGCTTAATGACTATAATAATGAGATATATTATAGACAGATCCAAATAAGTGATGTAGAGTAAGCTCAAAAAAGATTCATACAGCAAAACTTTGGATCCATAAAAGATATTTAAGATTTCGAGAGTTTTGAATGGCATTGCAATAGCCTGATAAACAAGTTTTATAATGAGATTTTGAAGACTATGTAATGACAATAATGAACAAAACATTTTAATATATTATTTATGAACCAAGCAGACGTTTAAGATTGATAAATATAGAGCTGTAGCAAATTAACGAGTCATTAAATTAGGATGAAGAGAGTAAAAATACATACAACTAAATTACATCAATATTAGGGAATCAATTTGCTTTCATGACAAAACTATCCCCTACAAAAGGTTTCTTTTTTTTTATTTTTTTTTTATTTTGGCTAAGGCAAGTGATGAGAAAGTATAAATGGCAAAAGAGAATCCCCATATGATTTTCATATCGGAGAGCCAATTTCATTTTATGTCAAGAATATTCACTATAAAGGCGATTTATTTGCCAAGGCAAATAATGAAATAGCATAAACACCAAAAAAAGAATCTCAACTGATTAATGTTGATCTAATATATATCTATATATATATATATATATATATATATTATATATATATATATATATCATGGCATTGGTGGCGGGCTCTGCTAGGGTTTGAATCCTTTGGCTTTCAATTCGTGCCGGAAAACGACAACGTTTCTCGTACTCGACGACGAAGGACTTTGCGCTAGTTAATCTCCTTTGCGATCGTCGTCTCCTCTGCGCCCAACGACGAAGGGTTTCAAAGCCTTCCAGCTTCTACAGTTTCGTCGTCTCCTCCTTCGTGTCATCTGCACGACTTTCCTTGTTGAGCTACGATTTTCGCTGCTTTCCTCGTCAAGCTGAGACTGTAACGATTTCGACATCTGCGGTTCGTGTCTTTTTCGCAGCTTCGCTCCGACCTTTTCTGCCAGTCGTTTTTGCCCTCTACCGACTTGGCAGGGCTTCTCCTTGCTGTGATGGAGCTTCCTTCTTCTTCGGTGGAACCTGACAAAGTCTCATTTGCCCACATGGTGAGTGATCTCAGGGGGAGACGGCGGTTGTCTTCCCCTCAAGTTATAACTAGTATCGTCATGGTACAACTGACTGTCCCTTTATTAAAATTGTAAGCAGAAAAAGTGGGAAGATAGCACTTTTCTTCTCTGAGTTAGAAATTTCAATCATAACTAACAAATTCAAGTTTGTTCTTACTGAAAAATTTCAGTGGGGACACCCACTTACGGAAGTTATCAGAAAAAAATTTGATGATCTCAAATTAGTAGGAAAGTGGAAGGTGGGGCTCATGTATGTGGGACATGTATTAATTCAGTTAACCGTGCCTGAAGACTATACTCAGATTTTCTCCAAAAAATATCTTAACATTGCTGGTAAACCAATGAAGCTACTCAAATGGTCTCCGAATTTTGACCCCAATCATGAACCTCCTACTGTATCGGTATTGTTTAGTCTACCTGATCTCAAGCTTCACTTTTTTCATCATCAAGTTCTTTAATCTATTGGTGTCACCTTATGAAGCTAGATCAACTCACTTTCAACATTACTAGACCTTCTGCGGCCAGAATACTTGTGGAAAGAGATATTACTTTACCTGACAAGTCTGGTTGGGCACAACTCAAAATGGATATTGACAACAAATTGTCACGAAGCATAGACCTCCTTATTGTTCTCATTGTAAGATGTTTGAGCATACATTTGATAAATGTCATAAGTTTCATCCTAATTTGAAATCTAAAGATCAAGTGAATAAGGATGGATCTAAAGATATATCTGTTCCACCTGGAGAGAACTACCACAGGAAAGGATTTGGTGTCTGATTCTATTGCCCCTGTGGACCCTCCCCCTGAAAATATTATTTCTGCGATCGATAAGAAGTTGGATGGCCCTGCTGAGCAACCTACACTTTCAAACCCTATTGAAAACAATATTGAAGGACCCCTACCTACATAGACTGATAATCATGAGAACCTTGCAGCTCCCCATTTTCAGAAAGTATCAGGGGTAGAGGCGACTCTTACCTCGCATACATTTAAAACTCTTGTGGGCACAACTGTTGACAATCTTTCTACTGCAGCACTACCACCCCATCCGAATGAGGAATGGCAGGCCTACACTTCCAGGAGGAAGAAAAAGAATGGAGATCTACTTGAGCTAAGAAATCTAATAGATGATACTTTGGTCACTTCGGGCAATGGTACGCATCTCACCAATTTGTTAGTTGGTTCCCTTCCGAGAACTAAAGGAAGAGGCAGAACTAAATTGGGTCGACTCGATTGATCTTATATGTACCATCTTTTGGGTTTTTAATTTTCTTTTCTCTTTTTGTGTGTATTGTACCGCGTGGGTTGGGTACCTATTTGGGCCTACTCATACAACCTATTTGTATTTTTTTCTCTTTAATATAATTGCCCTTGGGCTTTAAAAAAAAAAAAAACACACACACACACCCTTTCTCATTGCTTGTTTTAAGCGAAAGTAAAAAAATAAAAAAGAAAGCTTCTGTAGAGGATATTTTTGTCATAAAAGCAAATTGATTCCCTAATATTGATGTAATTAAGGTGTATGTTTTTTTAATTTCTTCGTCTTAATTTAATGACTTTTTCAGGGGGTTAATTTAGTCCCAGAGTTTATATAAGTGTCAATTTAATCCTTAGGCCCTTTAATATGAACTGAATAGACCCCAAGAATGATTATTTTAGTCAGTGTTAAAAAGCCTAAAAACTACTTTGGTATTTTTATAAACTCTGAGACTAAAATAACCACATGTAAATAATAAGAGGATTATTTTGACACTTACCCCATGATATAAAATTGCATCGTAATAAAAGTAATTGTGAGAATACATAAACTTTTTTCAATGAAAGAATTAAAATTAAGAATCAACATTAAGTTTGTATAAATTTATGTCGGTTATTAAGATGCAAAAAAAAAAGATCTTAAAAGTGCACTGATATATGATTTTTCTAGATAACACAATTGTTATCGACGAGAATTCAACTAATAAAAGTGAGAACTTAGAACTATAAATATAATATTTCCACTAGTTCGGACCCACACTTACCGAGTCTTTTGCAGCAAGAAGTCTCGAGCCTATTTGCATTCCACCCTTCAAAGCTAACTCCATCAATTCTACCCTCCACCTTATTATATTTCCTTCTTTACATAGGATCCAAGATGACAACTCAATTCTGTGGGAATATAATAATTATTTTATAATTATTATTTCTCCTAATATTTTTCCTATTGGAAGCTCTCTAAATACAATACAAATATTAAAATGAAACTCAACCAATTCTCACCAATGATTATCATAATATTGAACCTTGGGCATTTTTCTTAACATTTCCATAAGTTGTAGCCTTCGTTGATAATTCGTTGATAATTCACTTACAATAGCAAAAAGAGAATCTTCATATGTTTGTGTTGGCCATAACAAGGAATATGATTATTGGATCTTCAAGAAGAAATATGATCAAGCATCATGAGAATAAATTTGGTTACGAAAGAAGGTACGTCAATTGTAATTAATGATATATATGATATAATATTGACAAGTATTAAAAATAAATATGGGATAACTAATTTATTTCAATTAAAGAATTATAATAAAGATTAACATTAAGTTAATATAGCTTATTTTGGTTATGATAATGATTAATAGGACATTAAAAGTGTACTTATATTTTTTTTTCCTAAATGAAAATTCTAACCGATGAGACTTCTTCAAATAAAACTAAAAACTTAGAACAAGAGAATTTTAAATCAATAAGGCTTAAAAATTGTGAAAACGCTGCATAATTTTCAGCAGTATGGATTACACTCACCAAGGCTTCACCTAAACAACTGCCCCCGAGCCTACTTGCATTTCGCCTTTCCACCTTGCTCGATTTCATTCTTTTCATTATCACATTATAGATCAATGAATCCTTAATCTCATCTCAACAATCTCCGAGGTTATTTTAAATATTCAGTAAATGTTATTCATTGAATTTATATGTTCCCAGTTAGAATAATGACTGCATAAATATAACACAAATGTAGAGATAATATTTGAATAATTCTCTCGAATTCTTGTA